GAAGAAATTTTGCGAAATAAAAATGCTTTTCTTCAAAAAATGAAGGGAAAAGGAGAGAAAAAGTATATTTTAATTTTTTTATTTAAAATTATTTTCCAGAGGGCTGAGCTTAGATTTTGTTATAATTCATTGGGGTAGGCTTATTGTTAATCTTTTGTCTAAAAGAAACTATTTTCCACTGATAAAATGAACAACAAAAGAAGGCTGGAAAAGATGAAGAAGAAATAATGTATATAAAAATTAAACACAAAAAGATGCTCATGTCTTGTAGTTAAAACTTGCGGATTTTTGTTGACTTAAAAGACAAGAACTTTAAAAATTCGAATTAAACTTCCAAAAACTAATTTTTTAGAGCCAATAAAGAAAATATTAACAACGATGCTGGAAAGAAAAAAGGTAAAAAAGAGCGTAAATGGGATTTGGCTGGAACACAAAAAGATGCTCAATTATTGGATTATAGTGCTGTTGAGGATGTAAAAAATGGCGGTGAAAATAACAATAATAATATGGAAACGAGCAAAATTTATGATGAAAATGTAATTTTTTGGTTATTTTTATATTAAATATTTTTTCGGAATTTGTATTTTTTAATTATGCCGGCATTTATTCCAATCAGCTATTTGAAATAAATAATCTTTAATAGAGAATCGAAAAAATCACTAAAAATAGAAACTCAAGAAAAAAAATTTTCGAAAACGGAATTTCAGAACAGATGGGGTTCATGAATTTATCCATCTCTAATTTTCTTTTATTTTTTCGACTTTTTGTAGGTCGGGGTGTATCAAATGAATCATTACCACCGTAAATGCTCCAATAATTGCCCCTCTCGAATAATTACCCCCTCCAGCGAAAGGTTGAAACAATAATTACCAATGGTAATTATTCTAGCTTTACGGTATATTTGTTTTTGTAAATTCATACCCAAATAGAAGAATTTTTAAACGTTTCTCTAATTTTATTTATAATTTTTATTTTTTAAGAAAAAATTTGTTGGAAAGTTACATGGTGATCTTCCAGGTTTAGATGAAGTTGTTGAATTTGAGAAAAATGCTGGTGCTGCTAAAAAGTTTCTTTAAAATTTTTTTAATTTTAATGTTTCTATTTTTTAATTTAGTACAAAAGTAGCATCAAATCAAGGATGGTTTTCTGCATTTAAATCTTTGGTGGGCAACAAACAACTTACTGCTGATGATATTAAACCGGCTTTGGAAAAGATGAATGAAATTCTTATTAGTTTGTTTTTATTTTTTAAATTTATTTTTTGGATGTTTTTATATCTGACATTTTGTTTATGACATTTTATCTGACATCTTGTTTTTTCTGACATCTTGTTTCATGAAAATTGTCTTTTGACAATTTGACCTATTTAACATTAGGTCTTTTTTTATTCAAATCAAAAATTTTTCAGCTAAAAATGTAGCTTCGGAACCTGCACAAAAAATTTGTGAATCTGTGGGCGCTAAATTAGAAGGAAAAGTTGTTGGGACATTTAATCGAGTTACTTCAATTGTTCAGGAAGCTGTTCGAGAAATTCTTGTTCAGGTTTAATTCGTGATATATACTCTCAGAATTAGATGCTCCTCGTGTCAATTTTTTGATACGTCTTTTATAGTAAAATTGGTTAGCTGCTGGGTTACTGCTTTACTCCTATTTAATATACATTCATTATAAATTACAATTTTTTAGACTCAAGGAGCGTATCTTATAATGTGGTCTAACTGAACTAATTGTAAGAGTGGGGGCACCCGAATCCTGTCATTTTTTGCAGTCTCATAACCATATTTTTAAACACGAGGACAATTCTCCGAAACATTCTATTATAGTTACTCACACCAAAACGTCGCGTCAACATTTTACGTGATATTGTGGATGCCAAAAATGAAAATCGTCCATATGTAATTGTCTTTTGTGGGGTAAATGGAGTTGGAAAATCAACAAATTTAGCAAAGGTTTTTTTGGGAAAAAAATATCTTTTACTTGAAAATTTTTAAATTTTGATAGATTACTTTTTGGTTAAATGAAAATGGACATCGTGTTTTAATCGCTGCTGGCGATACTTTTCGTGCTGGTGCTGTAGAACAGCTTCGTACACATGTACACCATCTTAATGCTTTACATCCTGATGTGAGAGATAAAAAGTTTTTTTGGAGAGCGCTGTAATACCAAACGACGAACTACCAAATCTCCAAAAGCTGCCAAAATACCAAAATGTGAAAAGTGTTTAATCCAAAATGAAGCTCTTTTTATTCTCTATTTGAACTGCCAAAGTCGAACATTAACCGATCTTGTTATAGCAATCTGATTTGTTATAACAATCCACATTTTGGTATTTCTTCATGTCTTTTACGGGTTTATTATTTCGGCGTTTGGTTTTACTGCAGCATACCAGTTTTTTCTTTAAAAAATTTTTTTAAAGTCTGTTACACTTTTTGAACAAGGCTATGGAAAAGATCCTGCGTCAATTGCACAGGCAGCTATACATTTGGCAACTGAACGTAATATTGAGGTTGTTTTGGTTGATACAGCAGGGCGTATGCAAGATAATGAACCTTTAATGCGTGCTCTTAGCAAGGTTAAAAAAAAGTTTTTTTCTCTAACAATTAACATAAAAATTTGAGTTAAACTTAACTCAACTTTTAGCTTTATAATTAACACAAGATTGAGTTTGTGTTTTAGTTCGCTCAAAAAATCCATTACAGGGATGTCAGGGTTGAAAAAAGTCGGAACGTGTTTTCAAACCCACAACCTTCCTGATCCCTAACTTGATAAAAAATTTTTAATTTCTTTTAGTTAATTAACGTTAATAATCCTGATTTGGTTCTTTTTGTTGGTGAAGCTTTAGTTGGTAATGAAGCAGTTGATCAACTTACAAAATTTAATCAAGCATTAGCTGACCATTCTTCTGTTGGTGATAAGGCACGTTTAATTGATGGAATTGTTTTGACAAAGTTTGATACGATTGATGATAAGGTTTTTTTATTTTTTGAATATTTCGGGCTCTATTTTAAAAAACTTTCTAATTTTTTAAATATTTTTTCCCGGGTTTGTTTTCCCTCTTGTTTTTGACACTCCATTTGTGACACTTTATTGTTCCTTTATTGAGGGAGTTCAACTATAGATGTTTCGAAATTTGGGATTTTCGTCATTTTTCTTTTGATTCCCAACATTCGAAAATTTTTTTGTTTCAAAAACAGCTCGGATGCTATTGACAGAATGAGAAAAATTCAGAAAAAAAGTCCGTAAAGTGTCTTCCATTTCCCTCCCATCCTTCTAGTGTAAATATATTTAGTTTTTCTTTTTAAAAGTTTTTTCCCAAAGGTTGGAGCAGCTGTTTCAATGACTTATATAACTGGACAGCCAATTGTTTTTGTTGGAACTGGGCAAACATACCATGACCTTCGTAATTTAAATGCAAATGCGGTTGTTAATAGTCTTTTAAAGTGATATTATTTTTTTAAAATTTTCCTATTCAACTTTTTTTCTTTCTTTTATTCTTTGTAAAACCCATGGGAAGTGTTTGGACTAAAAGCTAAATTTTAAAAAATTTAAAAAATCGATTCAAAGGGGGGGGGGGGGAGGGGGGGTCTTTAGGTTTTAATTAGAGATCGGACCGAGACAAATCTACAACAATCTCCGTTAACTTTTATGTACTCGAATAATTAGACACTCTCTTAATAATTGTCCTCTCTCGATTATCTGTTTAACAGAGATAATATTTTGGATTCTCTGCTACTGATTTCGAGACGTACGGCTACTTGGTCTTGTCCAGTACTTTGTCCTATTGAAAGAGTTTTTATGTTTTAAACTAGCGTAGGCATGCAAGAGGTTTTTTTATACAGCAATCTTGATATGTCCGCACACTGATTGTTATACGACCCTCCCAGTCCGGTCTCTAATTTTTTAATGGTTGGATTTAAAGATTTAATTTTTAAAATATTTTTGGATTATTTTAACGATTCCTTTCTCCGTTACAAACTTTTCGCAAAACTTTATTATCCGCGAGCTTTATTTTCTAAAAAAAATCCATTTTTTATCTTTAAATCCAACTGTTATATGTCCATTTCTCTCTTTTTTTTAAAGTAAATTTTGTAAAATTAAATAAAATCCGGTAGTGAATAAAAAATGAATGTTTTGTTTTTAAATAATTTTTTAAAAAGTTTTTAAGACACATTTCTTTCTTGACTGTTTCGATTTCCGATTTTCGGAAAAAAATTTTTTGTTTCGAGCAGCTTGGTGGGGAAGGAAATTTCAGAAAAAAGTTCCACATCCCAATAACTTTAGTAGATTATAAAACTAATCTCGAGTGTTACGACTAAGTTTGTAAGTTGCTAGGTTTGAAAAAAAACTATTCTTTATATTAATTAATTCTCAACTTTTTTTCTCTAGTAATTTGATTTATTTATTTTTCTTTGGTATATTTTTTGTCATTATAATTAAATTTGAAAAAATCAAGAGTTTGAAAAAAATGAGCAATATAAACTTTATAATTATTATGAATAATGCCAAGGCCGAGTAAAATATTGTTTTTTAGAAGTAAAATTTAAAAAAAGGGATGTGGGTGTCAAAATATTTAGATTTTTTACTGGGTAATATTTGAGCTCAAGAGGTGGAAACAACTTTGAGGAAATAAAAATTGAGAATTTATTAGACTGGCATTTGATCGAAGATTAATTAATTGAGGGTTGGGTCGATAAAAAAGGTAGGCGCGAGAGCGCGAGACATTATGGCGTGAACTGTAAGACGAGACAATAAGGAAAGTAATCGAAAAATTGAAAAAATGTTAACTGATCAAATGCCTCTTCAATATTGGAAAGTCTAAATAAAGGACAAGAATATATATTCATCAGAATGAGGGAATTCTGAGTATCCTCCAACTTTCTGAGGGAGAGTATAAGAATATAATTTTTAAATAAAATGTTTTCTTCGTTTCTTTGGATAATCTTTGGAAGAAAGCTCGATAATAAAAAAAGGCAAAAAGAAGTTTTTTGACCAACAAAAAATCAAATAATCCCGTAGTTTTTAGTTTTTTGGCTATTTCCATTGGTTTGAGGATGAAGTCGACCAACACCACTACGATTTTGACTGGTTGAATGTTTTTGTCTGTTTTGTTGGTGGTGAGAGGATGAGGAAGAAGAATTGTGTTTTTGATGGTGAGGTGGTGGAGGTTGTTTTTGTTGTTTTGCGAGCCTTTGAAGGTCTTCTGCCAATTGTTCAACTTCTCTTGGGTCAACTCTGTGGCCGTGGTCGCTTCTGGTAACGCTTCGAACTGATCGACTTGATTTTGTCTTAAAAAATTGGGAAATTTTTAATTTAATTTGTACTAAATTCCGGATTTCTTTCCGGAAAGATTGTATTACCCTTTGCATAGCCCCTCCTCCTCCTCCTCCATTTTCATTAGTCTCGTAATCTGTAATGTCCCCTCCATCTAATATATCCCTTTCTTTTTCGTCTATCCAATCCTTTCGAATATCAATTTGGTTTATTTGTTTTCTTCCCAGTGATGTGTTGTTAATTGGAATTAATCTTTCCCCGGTAACCCAGTGATGATGTAAAGCTTCTTGTGCTGAAGGACGAAAATCTGGACTTGTTTCTGGAAATATTTACATAGAGTTATTCTGGATTTTTGTTTTCAGAAAGTGTAAATTAATTGTTTAATTTTAGGTTTTTAATTCTGTTTTATCCGTAAAGTTTGTAGCTGATTGTAACCTTACAATTGTAAACTCTTTCTCTTTCCGGAAAGTTAAAAATTCTGTTTTTTATTTCCGGAGTTTTCCTGGTTTTAAATTCTATTTGTTTATGAAAGGTCTGCAAATTCTGATTTCTTTTCGGAATATTTGTAAATTAATGTTAATTGTTATATTCTCTGTTTTTGGTTTAACTTTGTTTGTAAATTCTTTTTCTTTTCGGATGTTTATAAAATGCGTAGCTTATTTTTTTCCTACCTAGTAAAGAATCAACAAAATGTTTTGCTTGTTCTGATCCACTCCAAAATTGAGGGTAATAAATATAATTGGCTGTTATCTATAACAAAAAACATTTTTAGTTGATAAATTTTAACATTTTTACAATGTGGGTATATAAACGGGAACGGCAGTCATCATCAAAGGGCATTATTCCACTCATTAAAATATATGCTAAAAATATTTTTTTTCCTAATTTTTTTTTCAAAAATTTACCGATAACCCCAACAGCCCAACAATCAACTTTATTCATGTACGGAATTCTTAATAAAATTTCTGGGGCAATATATTCTGGAGTACCACAAGTTTCTGTCATTCTTTCATCTTGACTTTTTGTTTGTTTCTTAACAGAAAAAATATTTTTTTAATTTAATTTTTCTACTCACAGCAAGTCCAAAATCAGTAATTAAAAGACGGGCATCTGGTCTAGTATCGCTAAAATAAATATTTAAAAAATCTTTTTCAAAATTCAAAACTTGCCTATAAAGCAAATTTTCAGGTTTTAAGTCTCTATGGGTAATTAAATTTCTGTGTAAATAATCTAGGCCAGTTAACAACATTTTAATTGCTAAACGGGCTTCACATTCCGTATAACGCCCTTTTGCCTTGGAAATTTTAAATAAAATAACCAAAAAATAATTTTATTTATTACCACAACTCTGTCAAACATTTCCCCTCCGGAAGCCATTTCCATTACAATAAAAAGCTTTGTGGGACTTCGAAAAACTTCTTCCAATCGAATAACAAAGGGGTGTTTTACTCGACCTAATATAGTCAATTCGTTGTTTACAGCACCAAAGTCTTGATCAGTGTTTACAAGTTTGACGGCATAATAACGTTTAGTGACTGTAAAAAAAAGGGGGGAGGAGACTTAGTTAAATTTGTTTCTTCAGAATGATTTTCCGGAATTAACGAAAAAGTTTAATTTTTAAGTTTGTAAATTCTGGTTAGTATTTCCGAAAAATTTGTGAATTTCTTTTCTTTTTCCAAATTGTTGTAAACAAATCAGAATTTAACAATTAAACTCACTTCTATCCTGAACACGCAATACTTGAGAGAAAGATCCCTTTCCAACAACAGAAAGTACTTCATATTTACAAACTAAACGAGAATCTAAACGTATTGCTGGTCGATCAGGAAGTAATTGGAATTGTTCGAGATTTGAAGGTGGGGGCATAATTGGGGAGATTGGGGAGGAAGGAGTCCATTTTTTTGAAACGTTGTTCTTTTGTTGTGTTTTGGGTGAAAGAGGGGAATTGTTGTTGTTTGATGACTAAACAAAAAATTGTTTAAAAAAATATATGTATTTTCACACCTTTTTATCTGTTCTCCTCCCTAAAGTCCCTCCAGCTCCATGGAACAAATTTGCCAAAAATCCTCCCCCTCCCCCTCCTCCTTTTCTGGACACTTCCCCTCTAGGCGTGCAGGGAGCACTAGCATTCCCGTTGACCATTACACGTGTAAATCCATTACTACTAATATTATTGTTATTATTTGGACAGCCAGAGGATGATGTGGATGCTCCTGAGGAATGTGCTATTGTTGGTGAATGACTAAAAAATTTTTGAGTTTTTCGGAATTTTTAGTTTTAAATTTTAAGTTTGGAAATTCTTTATTTTTTGTTGGGTTTATAATTATTGTCTAACTTGAAGTTTGTAAATTCTGGTTTTTTTCCGGAAAGTTTGTAATATATTTTAGTTTTATTTTTTACTTAAGCATACTACCTATAATTATTATTATTATTTCCGTTTAAATAATTAAATTCGTCATTATTTGTTGTTGTAATTTTCTTCTTTCTCCAGCCATTCTGTTGTTGTTGTTTTGGTGATAATCCATTTTGTTGTCCAATTTTTGTTGTAAAATTGGGAGAAGAATAATTTTGGGGACAATTTTCTGTTACTAACGAATTTTTATTCCCCATTGGAAATAAAAACTTTAAAAAATATTTTAAAAGAAGTAATTTTTATTGATAATTTTTAAAAAAAGAGTGAGGAAAATAACGGGGGAACGAGTTTAATTTTTTTTTATTTTTAGAAAATTTATGTAATTTTTTCCGTTCGTCATTTTTTGTAAAAAAAGTAATTTGAAGAAATTAAATATAACAAAATTAATTAAAAAGGGAGGAGGAATTGTAGTAAAATTATCAGAATTTTGTATATATTAATTAATTAAATTATTTTTAAATAAAAATTCCGGAAAGATGATAAGTACCCACAAATGATTTCCTTTCCGGAAAGTTTTCAAATATACAAACAAAAAATAAATATAAAATACCCAACAATTACCCAAAACAATTACAAATATATTTAAAAATAAACTACAATTAACACTCATTTTTCCTAAAATAATCTCTCCTCCGTTATTCAAAAAATTAACGGTGAGAGTGAGGGGAGGAAGGGGGAGATAAATGGATTGAAAGGACTAAAATAATAAAAAAAAAGAATTTTTTCACAATTAACCAGTTTTTCTTTAAATTGATGAAGAGGTGGAACAATTTTAGTTTAGATGACTAAAAGTGGAAGAACGGAGGGGGAGAAGGGAGGGGGAGAAGGGAGACAGAGAAAATAAAGACAATAAAATAACGAAAAAGAATCCCTCCCTCCCCCCTTTTAAATTCTTTTAATTATAAACATTTAGGCGCAGAATTTCTTGGGGAGAAAGGCAAGGGTGATTTACTGGTTTAACCCTTCAAAACCCTTCACATTCTAAAATTTGACACATTTTTGGTATTAAATGTTATTTTTCAACAAAATACAGGCTATTTATGCCCTTTTAATGATTGCGCCGAAATGTCCAGATTTTCTCCAACCGATATATAAATTAAGTATATTTTTCGGCGATTTTTTCGCGCCTTCAAAAACTATTTAAAGGTGACAAATTAAAAGGAATGTTTGAGGGGAAGGGGTATAGAGGGGAAGGAGGGGTAGTTTACAGCTGTAATGCTACGGTTACATAAAAAACGCGCGCGTCTTGCGGCAGAAAAGATAATGGGAAATGAGGAGAGTAAAAGACGCCGGCGTCTTGCCGCTTTTTTTGAGTGGTTACATAAACTGCGTCTTCCGCCGGCGTCAAGACGCCGGCGTCTTGACGCTTTTTTGAGTGGTTACATAACTCGCGTCTACCGCCGGCGTCTTGACGCCGAGCGTCTTGCCGCTTTTTTGAGTGGTTACATAAAATGCGTCTTCCGCCGGCGTCTTGACGCCGGCGTCTCTTTTTTTAATTCAAACATGTTTGAATTTTTTGCGGCAACTTTTAGCGTCTTGATCATTTCTCGGCCAATTCTAATGCGATTTTTAAAATTTAAAAAGATTCTGAAAATTCAATTTATTCTCTATCGATCAATATAAATTTTATATTTTTAAAGTTAAATCTTATGGGTTAAAATTGATTTTGAAAAAGGTATACTTTTTGCAAAAGTTTCACTAGGTTTAAGAAAAATATAGATATCCATCTTAATCCTTACGCATCACCAATACACTCTTAATCATTAATCTGATACGGATAATATCAGGATAACCTGCATAATTGGATTTCGGTGTATATAGAGGGAGGCAAATTTGGAGGGATTAACAGAGATATTGTGGGATCTGGGTGTTTAAAAGGGATATTGGTGAATTTGGGAAATATCGAGGAATTTAGAGAATATAGAATGATCTCTTATGAACAATGGTTTTATCAGAGATTAAAAGGCCTTAAAAATACGACAAATTGCCTTAAAAATACGACAAAATTTGTCTAAAAATATCGAATATTTTTTCGTCATTTTTGTCTAAAAATTGAGTTTACGAAACGAAAACGAAACGAAAATATATTTTTAATGAAATACGAAACGAAAGAAACGAAAAAAATTATTTTTAAACGAAACGCGAAACAAAACGAAAATCATCAAAAATCCACGAAAATCTACGAAAACGAAACGAAACGAAAAATTTTCGTCCATCTCTGATCGGTACCATGGCAGAATAAAATGATTTGATTTTATAAATTTTATTTTAGTATGATAAATATTTAAAAAAATTTTTAATCGGATTTAGTGGTTACATAAAATCGCGCGCGTCTTGCGGAAGACGCTCGGCGTCAAGACGCCGGCGGAAGACGCTGTTTTGTGGTTACATAAAACTAGCGTTTTGACGCTTTGCGTCTTCCCGCTTAGCGGAAGACGCCGATTTTATGTAACCACGAAACAGCGTCTTCCGCCGGCGTCTTGACGCCGAGCGTCTTCCGCCGGCGTCTTGCGTTTTTTATGTAACCGTAGCATAAAAGGTGTAAAAGAAAATTAAAAGACAGAAATTAAAATTAATTTTTAATAAATGCCAATCTAAAAAAACTATTTCTAGCGTTTCTATTAATTATTTTCACAAAGAAAATAGTTTTTTAGCAGGTATATAGTATATTTTTATAGCCATTTCCCTCCATTTTCTCCCATTATTATTTTTTGCAAAAAATTTTTTTCTGCACACCCCCATTAAAAATTAATTTTCCAATCAAATGCCTTAATTTTATTATTTTAATGTTGCTTTTTAAGATATAAAATAAAAATAAGTTTGGCTCTCGTAAAAAAAATATTTTTTATCTTTATTCGAGAAGTGTTTCGTTTCGGCGCCGAATAGAAATTCTATAAATATTCTAGTATTTTTATATGCCCATTTTTTAAAATTTTATTGGTTATTTTTATTGAGAATTGAGAGAGAGAGAGTGTGTGCCAAGAATTCGATGGAAATTGAAATTTGGGAATTAATAATAAGTTAATAGAATTCATAGTAAAAATTTAAAATGTCGAAAAAGTAAATGGGGAAGGGGGGGGGGGTATGTAGGGTGGGGGGTACCCTTCACTCTACTCAAGTTTAGTGTTCGGAACTCCCACGGTACTCCCGAAAATACTGAATCCATATTTGTCAGTATGTCCGGTACCGAAAGAAATCCATTTATCGAACCCTACTCTAATTGTTCCCTTCACTCTACCCTTTAATTCGAAAAGAATTTAAGTATATAATTTTAAAAATGTTTTAAAATAAATAATTTTGGAAACAAAAATTGTTATAATAAAAGTAATAATATATCAGCTTTCTCGATCATTTTTACTCAAAACTTGTCAGTTTTGATGAGGGAGAGTAAAACAGCAGTTGGGATGAAGAAACAAATTTTGTTTTGTGTGGCTAAAAAATCATATGACTGACACTAAAAAAGAGCAGATTTTTGGAAAGGAAGGAGGAATTTAATATTTAAGTATATTTATAGACTTAAAACTTTAAAATGAAAGGACCGCTTAAATGAGAAGGGGGAGGGGGGGGGGGGGGAGAGAATTTGCCTTCAAGTCCAGACATTTCAATTTTGAAGACCTATATAGTCTGAACAATAACATTTTTACTGTTCAGCCGATTCAAAAAATTTTATATCAGTCGAAAGCTATAGCTATAGGGATTATTCTCGATCTGGATTGATCTGATTAGATAATCACAAAAAGTTACAACCGGATAATGATCGAAAATTACGATTACGCGCACTTATATGGATGTAACTTTTCTTGTAATGATCTGATCGGATTAGGTAAAATAATAACCCTTTAGGTAAAATAATCTACATATCCAGAGCTTCCAATCAATATATAGGGAAATTATTCAAATCGGCCAAAAATTTAAAAAAAGTTGTGTGGTTTGAAATCGGCCTAGGGATTGGAATGGCTGGACATAAAAATAAAGTTTATTTTAAAAAAGGAAGGGAAATTTGAGATTTAAAAAAAGTTTAAAAATTTTTGAAGGAAGAAAATGAGAAGGAAGAAAGATACATTCTAAAAATAGATACATTAATTCTCATTTTACTTATGTAGTAGCTTAAATACTTAAATAAATTGTGTGTGCTTAAATGAGCTTAAGCTTAAATATTGAAATTAATTTAAGCTTAAGCTTAAATCAAGTTTTAATATTCCAAGTTTATTCTCAAGTTGTAAAATTTAATATAAAATTTTCAAGCTTGGACTTGAGTTCAAGTTTCAATTTTACATATTAAAACTTATTTTAAGTTCAAACTTAAGTTTATAAAAGAATTCAAGTTTTAAGTTCAGGTCCCCTAAATTGCTTTACTATAAAAGCCTATCTTGAAAAAGAAAATTATTCTTTTTTAAGTTTATTTAGTTAAATAATTAATAAATAACAAAAAGAAAAGGCATATTAAATATTTTTCAGTTAACGTAAAAATAAAATTCTTAAATAAAAAATATATAAACGATCATATCCATCAATCAATCAGTCTAAAAAATGAGAAGGAAAAATTTTTTTCAAGTATTTGGCTAAACTTAGTCTAAATTTGGCGTCTAAATTATTGATAATTATTTGAAGTTTGTTTAATTTTTAAGGAGATTTTTTTAAGAGAGAAAATGTATAAAATAATCAAGTATAGGAACGATATAATTTTTGGTTAAAAATATTTGTGTGTGTGAAAAAAAGGGAAAAAAGAAGAAAAGAAAAAATGTTGTTTAAAAAATTTTTTTATATTTGAGAGAGACAATTGGTCATTCTTTAAGAAAATAATAGAGGAGAGATTAAAAAGTGATTAAAACAATGGAAGAAAAAAAGAGAGAAAGAAAAGATGAGAAAATTACTGGCAAATTAACGTGCCCGCTCAACTCATCTAATACTTAACTCATCCACACGCCCAAAATCGCTCAACTCATCTAAACGGCTAAAATTCCTTAACTCATCCACACGGCCAAAAACGCTTAACTCATCCAATCCTCAACTCATCTAATGCTTAACTCATCCACACGGCCAAAAACGCTCAACTCATCCAATCCTCAACTCATCTAATGCTTAACTCATCTACACGGCCAAAAACGCTCAACTCATCCAATCCTTTGGAACGAGACTATTGAGTACCAGTCGTTTGAGTCCCTGGCCGTTTGAGTCTCTGGCCGTCTGAGTCTCTGGCCGTCTGAGT